CAGAATTCCCCAGCCAGCGAATGCTGGCTGGGGAATTCTGGGAGTTGAAGTCCAGACATCTTCAAGTTGCCAAGGTTGAGAAACACTGTTCTAGCCCATACGTGTAAGACAGAAATAAAGCACAGAAAAGGGCTGTTTACAAATGCTTGGACCCTCTTTCTCCTGTCAGGAATCACAGGGATACTTATGAGCGCTGCAGGGCTCCCTGTCTGTCTGACTCGACCTCCAAAGCTGGTTCTGCACCCCCCTCCAGTCAGCAAGAGTGACATTAAATCCATCCCCGGCATCTCCAATACCTGCCGTAAGACTACCAAAAAGCAGACCAAGAAAGGTAAGAACGAGAGCTGCTCTGCTTCTTCCTATTGCTTCACCTCATTAGAATGGCATAACTGGAAGGTGTGGGTGTCCAAAATATACAAACCCATAAAGAGAAAGAATGTGCACTGTAACTTATTCAGACATCGTAACAAACCAGATTTTGTGCTGACTGAAGTTAGAAACTGAAAGATACAGTAGTTTGAGGCGCCAGCTGTACCTTGGAAACAAAAAAAAAACAAACAGGTTAAGCTTGCTGGGTAAACACCTGCATCTTCCTTTTCTACCTGTCTGTGTCCCTGGCTGCTTATGCCTTTTGGCAGAGGGAGATCAGGTGTTCTGATTCTCTATTATTTTTGGCTGGCTACTTCTGGAGGATGACAGTATATTCCTGTCTTTGCAGGATTCCGTCTACGGACCTTTCGTCCTTCTCTTCTCTCCTCGTTTCTTGTAACTATCACCCAGGCATTGTTCCAACGCGTTTTGTTCTCCTGCGCCTCCCCCTCCCCGCTTCCATTTTGCGATCCCATCCACCTGCGTTTCTGTATCCGATGATGGTTGGACAGTGGCAGATATCCAACCAGTGTTCTTCCAAAAGCGCTCTTCTGCATTACCTAACACAGCAGATGATTTGCACACCTCCGCCACTGTCTCATGCTTTCCCAGCCAGCTGTAGTGAGCACGATGTATTGCATAGTCTCTCCGGTATGCGGCTTTTCCTTTTTAAATTGACCTTTCCCCACAGTGCATCACATCTGCTTGGCAAATAATAAGCCTTACTTCCAGGTGACAATGGAGTAAAAGAGGTGTTAGAAGCCTGTTGTCCCTTGTGTCTCTATAAAGAACACAGAATCACTGTCATTAGAGTGAGCGCATGAGTTCGTCCACCAGCCTTGTTCACAAGGGCAGATACATTCACCATGTACCTTTCGTGATGAAGAGCTAACACTTAATTTGTCCACTGTAATCTGCTGTCAATTGATGGAACATTTTCCTTATCCGCCCTGAGCAACCACATAGCTAGGCCTTCTTCAGGATGATCTATCTCCAGCTTGGCCCTTCAGATCTTCCAACACTGTACCCATCACTGCTGTAATTGATTCTCGCCACCTTGCTGCTGGTCATTTTGTCTTTGCTTTCCTTCCACCTTTCTCAAAGGGAGCACATAGAGAGTATAGTTGTCTCATCAAGTATCTAGAGAATTGCATACATCAGGGATAAGGGTGATTGGGGGTGGGGAATGTGTAGATATTAGGCAGCCTCAAGTTCCATCTTTGATCATATATGACATTTGTTAGCAAAACAATGAAGCCAATGATACGATGTCTGACCTTTTAGAGGGATAATGTTGTACAGTAGTACTGTCCTTTAATATTGTAAAGCTATGGGGGGAGAGGCAACTTTCAGTAGCCGGTGTCCATGTAATACTTTGTAGGAGAAGAGGTTAGGATGGGGAAGGGTTAGACTGAGATAAAGCAAGTGGAGAGACGTGGCACATATAGTTGAAACCACATTTTTCTGGTTCTTTTCCCAGATTTGGGGGTTTTTCTTTGGTTTTTAACTGCTAAGACTATTTTTTGCTTCTGCTTCACTCCCTGAACATTATTTTTGCCTCAAATAGCAGACCAGTTTTCAGCTGCTGTGGTTGGAGAGTGCTTTGAAGGCCACAGAGGGAGGTTTGAGGCAACTCTTGTGACTTTTAAGTTGTTCACTCTTGCAAGAACCTTGGCTAGGTTAGAATTCCTCACAGATGCTGGAGGAGAATGTAAAAAAATGAGAAATTGTGGTCGTGACTAATGAAGTGATGCAGTTCCACCTGTGAGATGCCCCTCATATCCAGAAAAAAAGATCAAAAAGTGAGCAAAAACATAACCATGAAAGCATCACATGTCCCTGTTCTACGGGATTCCATTGTCTGCGCTCTGCCGCAAGTTATTTCCTGTTCTTATGACAGGATAAGGTTTGATTTTTTTGTCAGATTAATTTCTGGTAGTCTTTGTTTGTTTATGTATTGAAGACAAAGGCACATTTTCCTCAGGGCACTGAGCAGAGATTCTTCTATAAGCTTTGCTATCTCCTCAGTGCAGAGTTCAGTCACTCATCCGTGCAGCTGAACACAAAGGTTATGGGTATTATAAAGTCCTTCATAGAATTATACTCCTGAAAGCAATAGGGAGGCTAGAAGGACGGGGGCCGTCACGTAAAGGAGTCAGGCTTGAAACTGCTGAGCCTGACTTTGGTTTGCAGCCACCTTTCACATGGAGGCACATTCAAGAATATTGTAATATCAGGAGAGACAAATTGACTCTCCCAGACATGGGAGGGGTGCAATTTTTGACTCACTGTGGAGTCTGAGCAAGTGGGTGTGATGATTTAAAACTCCATTCTTCTTGTTGTTGTTTCTTAATTTTTTAGAGGTGCAGACATGATTGTTAGCATATTTAAGATTAAAACAAGCACATTCTTTCTGAACTCTGCCACCATGGCTGTTCATAGCAACAAGCAGAGCTGTAGATACACTACAATGATGATGGTGAACCTCCTTCTTATAGCGTGCCAAAATTGTGCGTGCACACATTATTGCGTGCGCACGTGTGCCCACACCAATTCAATCCTCCCCGCCCACCTGTGCATGCGCGCATGACCCCACCACCCAAGGCTCCAGAGGCTTTCCTGAAGCCTGGGGAAGGCAAAAATGGTCTGTCCCCCCGCCCACCTGGAGACCCTCTGGAAGTCGGAAATGGATTGTTTCCAAACTTCCTGTTGGCCCACTGGGACTGTTTTTCCCCCTCCCCCGGCTCCAGGAAAGCCTCCAGAGGCTGGGGAGGGCAAAAAATGGCCCCAATGGGCCAACCGGAAGTTCAGAAACGATCCATTTCTGGGTTCCAGAGTCATCTGGAGGGCCGTGGGAGGCCGTTTTGACCCTCCCCAGGCTTCAGGAAAGTCTCCAGAGGCTGGAGAGGGGGAAAATGGCCTACCCCAACCCTCCAGAAGGCTGAAAATTAGTTGGCCAGCACGCATATGCGTGCCAGAGCTGACATGCCAGTAAATATGACCTGTGGCATGCGTGCCATAGGTTTGCCATCATAGGGTTAGAATATTGGGAAGCTTGGTTAAGAAACAACAAAAAAACTATCACTGTTTTTAGGCTTACAGAGGGATGCAGCTTCAGTTAACTCTCATTAATGAGGGCATTACATAGTATAGGAGGTGGAGGCTCACAAGGTTAGGATCTGGGCTGACAATCAGCAGGCTTGCGTTCAAGATCCATTGTTGCTGCAGAGTGGGATGAGCTCCCATTGCATGCTGCAGCTCCTGCCAATCCAGCAGTTTGAAAGTAGGTGACTGCTAGTAGATAAAAGGGTGTACCATTTCAGTGAGCAACTACATGGGACAGGAAAGGAGCTCCAACTGGGCGTAGTACACCAAAGTGCTTTTGACCTGGAATAATAAGAAGATGATTGCCTGGTATCATAGTTAAAGTAAAGTGGTGTGCAACATACTTCTAGCCATAGTTTCTGATTCTGGTTTATCACTCAGAAATACTAGTTGATAGTTTGAATGTCTGGGCAGATTGTGGTTATGTTTCACAAACTAACTGACTTACTAACATCTGAATTGATCCAGTATAGGTAGTCTTCAACTTACAATCATTCATTTAGTGACCGTTTGAAGTTACAATGGCACTGAAAAAAGTGACTTATGATAATTTTTCATGCTTATGACTGTTGCAGCATCCCCATGGTCATGTGATCAAAATTCAGATGCTTGGGAACTGGCTCATATTTGCGATTGCTGCAATTTCCCAGGGTCATGTGATCACCTTTTGCCACTTTCTGACAATAAAGTCAATGTGGGAGCCAGAACCGCTTAATGGCCATGTTATTAACTTAACTGCAGTGATCCAGTAAACAATTGTGGCAAGAAAGGACGTAAAATGGGTGAAAATTCACTTAAGAAGTATCACGTTTAACAGCAGAAATTTTGGATCAATTGTGATCATAAGTCAAGGCCTACCTGTATATAGAACCAAAGGCTTGGAGGGGAAACCAAGTTCCACAATGCTGCTGAATGGCATTTGCTCCCTCCCTCCCTCCCTCCCTCCTTCTCTCTCTCTTTCTATCTCTCTCTTTTGTAATTCTCTCAAAACTTGTAACAAAGCACTAGGAAGCTTTGCTCCCTTCCTCCCTGCTTTCCATTTCCTGCCTTATCTTCTGTTTTCTTGATGGCTATCAGGAAAGAGATACTCAGTTTGCTTCTCTCATTTTTTTCTAGGTAAAACCACAGAGGAAGTTTTGAAAAAATACCTGCAGAAGGTACGCCATCCTCCAGATGAGGTACGTCTGGTTCTCTCTATATAGGGCATCTATTTCTGCAAGTGTAGTGAAATATTGTTGATGCAGAACGATGTGCTTAGGTTGCAGATTTCAGGGCAAAAATTGAACTGTAACAATTAGTGGTACAGTATGCTGATTAACTATATATTGCTGTGTAGCTTATCTCTTTGGGGGATGTTTCCCCCGAATACCAAAGTGGCTAAATTTATATAGCACTAAACTTAAGTGCAATGAATTTGGTCTTTGTTTAGAATGTGATATGAACCCACCATCAACTGTTCACACACAACACTGCCATTAAGTTTGGTTAACAAAATACAACCCTCCACCCTCCCGTTTTGCCCTTGGTTTATAGTGAAGGCAAAAGTGTCCTGAGGAATTTTGCTGAGACTGAGAGGAGGAGAATAACTGCAGATAAGCCTGACTTAGATGGTCAATTCAACATCCTCACTTCCACATGTAGCTTCCTCTCATTTTAATGTTGGGGATGGCAGAGGCAGATGAACTTCTTTTAGATGTATCTATTACCAAGGAGATCAGTAAGATAGCAAAAACTCACCCCAGTGTAACTTAATCTTCCTATAGACCACTGTTTCTCAACCTTGGCAGCTTGAAGATGAGAGGACTTCAATTCCCAGAATTCCCCAGCCTGCACTATGACTGGAGAACTCTGGGAGTTGAAGTCCACACATCTTCAAGTTATCAAGGATGAGAAAGACTGCTGCAGAGGACCGAGGATTCTGATGCTTTCTCTCCTAACAATTTCCTGCTTCTCTTTAGGACTGTACCATCTGCATGGAACGCCTCTCTGCTCCCTCCGGCTACAAAGGGCCGCAACCGGTCGTTAAGCCAGAATTGGTGGGCAAACTGTCCAAATGTGGTCACATGTATCACCTTCACTGCCTTGTGGCCATGTACAACAATGGAAATAAGGTGTGTTCCTGGGATAGGAAGGCAGAGTTGCGGTGTATTGTTGTTCTTTGGGGAAAGAGTGGGTAATTCACAAACCTTATTCAAGGAAGAATATCTAGCAGTCCTCATATTTAAAAATAAAGACCTCTGGAGGTTACTGTGACTTCATGCCAATCGTGGTGTTTTGTTCTGCATTTGAAGTGGAGGAAGTCACAAGGGACAAGTTGGAGCTTCAACAAATCCAATTTGTTATATTCATAAGCTGTAGGGGAAATACATACCATAGTTTATTTGACTTCCTCTAGGACATGTTGCACATGCTGTAAGAAAAGTCTTTGTGCTGCTCATATTTAATTGTATTGTTGATTTTTACTGTATTTTAATCCTGGAAAACAACAGAGGTATAATAAGAATTGGTTCTCTGAATTGAGAGCACATGTGGCAGTATTTCCCCGTGCTTAGAAATCCCATGGATGATTTCTAATGATCACCATTTAATAAATAGTATTTTGATTTTCCCCTCATTGAGTTATGATTCTGTGATGGCCCATCAGTCTGAAAATCTAATTATTAATGCATTGTTTGAGAGAACAAGATTCTCAGGCTCTGGTTATATGACATTATTTAGGCAGGATGTCTCTTAGCTTAACTTAACTTACAATCATTTGATGAAAAAGCCTTCATTTTAACTGTATTCACGCATGGAAAAAAGTGATCCATGGAAAGATGAACCAAAGCAGTAGAAATTGAATTTTTTTTTAAAAAAAATAAAATACTCCAAAACATTGATCACTGTGCTCCCAGCCAACCAGACCAAAACACCAAATACAAATTTGCAATGAATTGTATAGAAAATATACATTATCAGACACAAATAATTAATTATATTTTTTAGAGAGGACCCACTTCCAACTCTATAGTAACAATAAAATAATCACATCAATCTAGATCTTAGGGCTGGTGCCTTAGTTTTGCTTTCACCCTTGATCTACATTCCTTCTCCACAGTAAAGTACTAAAAGATTGTTCCATTTACAAGGCCTTACATTTTTATGCCCTGTTATCTGGCTTTTGCTTGTTTCCTGCGTGTCTCTCTCATTAGAATTACATTTCTAATGCTTGTACAGGAATATGATTTTAGACAGAGAAAAATCACCTCTTAACTAAGGAAATAAAAACACCTTAACAGATGTGCTTTCAGTCAGACCACCATTTTCGAGCACATGTACATGGAGGTCAGATGACAGATGACACTAAACTTTATTTATTTTGGCTATAGTTTAATGTATCCTGCAAACCATAGGGTTGGGCTTATTTTATTCTTGGTTAAAAGATCAAAATTAAAAATACATGTTATTTTTGATTTTTATATTTATATCAGTGGTGAGTTGCAAGCGATACTCCCTGGTACGGGCGTGCCGGAGCCTGCCCGGACCATCGAGTACTGTTCTGGTACGGTGCTCTGGAGGGCCCACCCGCCCGGCGGAGCGCCTTACCTGTTCTTTAAAGCCTTCGGCACTTCCGCGCAAGCATATGGCGCATACAGTACCTGCATGACGTTCCACTGAGCAGCTGGAGTATCATGGAGGCTTGCAGAAGCGTCGGTGGCGGCTACAACGCATCCATGTGCCATGCGCATCCATGTGGGCGATGCCGGGCCCGGCCTCCATGTGTGTGTGTATTTTGAGAGCGGGCATCAGAATTTCATGTTTTAATGTGCGCCAGTGTGTTCACATAAAAAAGTGACAAAGGTGATCTTATTTTAAGAGGAACAAAGTAAAAAAAACAAAACCATCCAATTATGGCTTTTGCTTGTTTGCTGCTGAGATCTATTGTAGTGAATAGATTTTTACTCAAATCAAAGGCAAATGCTGATAATTTAATTGAAGAATCTGGTTTTCCTGACTCAGAATTAAATTGAAACTGCTGAATTCACCATTTGGGGTCCATGGACAGAAAGACACTCATTTCCAAATCTCCATTTAATAGTATTTTCAAGAGCTTAGCAGCTTCGCTACTGTTCCTTGGGCTAAGAAAGAGGCTTTCTCTTGTCAGCTGAGTTCAAAACATTGCTGGACCTGTGATGATGGACTTAACTAGTGAAGGAACATTTTTTCTCTCCTTTTTAAAATTCAGTTCTCGTACTGCTTATTAAAATAATGAGTAACTATATGTTCTCAAGTTACATTTTAAAAAATAACTTCGCTCTATGCTTAAAACTGCAAACTATGGTTGGAAGAATCTAACATTTTTCAGAGTATAAAACGCACCTTTTTCCCTCAAAAAAGAGGTTGAAAATCTGGGTGCATCTTATACACTGAATACAGCATTTTTGACTCCTGAAACCCCGCCCCCTTCACCAAAATGGCTGTGCATAGTTTTTAGGAGGCTTCAGAGAGCTCCAGAGAGCTGGGAAGGGCAGAAATGAGCAAATAATGGGCCATTTTTTGCTCAATTTTGCCCCCCCCCCAGCCCCAGGAGCACTCTATAAGCCTAAAGGCTATCCATACCCCTTTTGTTGACAAAAAACGGGCCTGTTTTTGCGAAAAATGGGCCATTTTTTGCTCGTTTTTGACCCCCCCCCCCAGGAGCACTCTACAAACTTCCTAAAGGCTATTCATGCCCCTTTTGGAAGAAAAAAAACGAGCCCATTTTCATGAAAAACAGGCCGTTTTTGGGAGGTTTGCAGAGTACAAAAACTTTTTAAAAAATTTGCCTCTTCAAAACTTTGGTGCGTCTTATACTCTGAAAAATACAGTAGTTTGAATAAAATGCCTGGAGGGGCTAAATGTGCAAATAGAGATGGAAGAGGCCTTGTCTTCAATCTTCCTTAATCTACTTCTAGTTTTTTTTTTAAAGTTAAATTTGAGGATGTGTGAAGTTACGAAGCATTCTGGACAGTGAGATCTTATCTTTCTATTACTCTTTTACCACTTAAGTTATTTTATAGTGTTGGTATAATTACATAATATCATCTTAATGGTTTTTTTTTTAATTTTGTGCTGGTGTCATTATTTATGTTCTTTGCTATTAGGATGGGAGCTTGCAGTGTCCGACCTGCAAAACCATTTATGGGGTGAAGACTGGCACCCAGCCGCCTGGAAAAATGGAATATCACCTCATCCCCCATTCACTGCCAGGACACCTTGACTATAAAACTATCCGAATAATCTACAACATTCCACCAGGAATACAGGTGAGATTCCTAGGCAAGGAGGAGGATTGCCTAGATTGCCTTAAGAGGATTGCAGTTGCAACTAAGACCATAATGGGCAATCTGGAATTTAGATTTTAACTGTTTTTTTGTTTTTTTTAAATCTGCTCCTGTAAATCTTCTGTAAAATGTGAAGCCTCTTTCAAACTACTCCTGGTGACCTCATGCTCATATCTTTTAGTTTTCTGGGAAACAATATAGAAATCTTTAGCCACCAGTTTCTTTCAAGATCATTTTGGCTTCCCAGGCTGGCCAAAGCATTGCCTAGAAGTCTCCAGTCCATGTAGGCCAAAGCCAACTTAATTCTCAGCCCTTACAGTCTCAATGAGATAATGCCATTTTGCTGAATCTGAATTTTCTTTAGACACATCAAAAAAGAGACTTTAGTTAATTTGTATGATGGTTGTCTCCGTTGGATGTTGACAGTCGTTTACCTAGAAAAAATAATTATTTCCTGTTCTTTTTAGGGACCAGAGCATCCAAGTCCTGGGAAGAGTTTCACTGCCCGGGGTTTCCCTCGACACTGCTACCTCCCAGACAGTGAAAGAGGCAGAAAGGTAGGAGGCATCTTAATACTATAATAAATAATTTTTAAAAATGTGTCTTTGTGACAAGTCTAGTTACCAAAAACAATGGTCTAGGGCAGAAGTGTGTCTCATTGATTGACATTAGAGAGTTTCTTCTGAGCAACTTACACAACGGTAGCTTTGGAGCCTCTATTAATGCTTATAATGTTATTTCAGTTGTACAGATGTGCTTGTAGAATTTATCCATATCCATTGGGTAAATTTGCACCAGAATCCAAATGTTTGCAAGAACATTAGTAGAAAAAAAATTTGTGAGTGATTTTGCTTGGGTGATGTAAGCCCCTTTCTCATTTAAATACCCAACTCTTCTGATATTCATCCATTTCCTCTGGCAGGTGCTGAAATTGCTGTTGGTGGCCTGGGATCGAAGGCTGATCTTTGCCATCGGCACTTCAAGCACCACTGGAGAATCTGATACGGTCATCTGGAATGAGATTCACCACAAGACGGAATTTGGGTCCAATCTGACGGGCCACGGCTACCCTGATCCTAACTATCTAGACAATGTACTTACTGAGCTGACAGCTCAGGGAATTACAGAGGAGAGTGTGATGCAGGAGAAGGACTGAAAGTGTGAGAGGAAAGGGGAAGGACTTTGTCCAAGGGAGGAGTGACAAGTATAGCAGCGTGTGCATGGATCAAGCTCCTCCCTCTTCCATTGTGCCTGCTCTGTCCTTCATCCTCCTACCGTAGGCCTCTTAAAAGGCTCAGCTGTGGCTATGCAGCAGTGGGCTTGCTTAAATGAAGAACTCACAGCCAGCTCTCATATGTGGCCCACAGCACCTGACGTATAAAAAGCAAACAAACCTGAGAAGGTTTGTGTGTTCCTCTTCAGCATGAGGAGGAGTTTCTTGTTGAAGCCTGAGGTTATATTAACCTCAGTACCCATAGCTACTTTAGCTTTGTATCTCAAAAACCAGGGTTTGGCCCTCTCTTGGATGCAGTCACATCTTCTGTCCATGAACCATAAACGATGACTGTGGGCAACAGGCAGCTTGGAATGGCAGAATCATGTGCAAGTCAAAAATATGGCTTTGTTTCAGAGGTGTAGAACATTGAAACCAGCCCTCTCGTTGTTGTTTTTTCCTTCTTTCTTACCCAGCTAGGTGCCTGGTTCCATGTTGTCATGTCCCTGCTGCTTTTGTGTCATGGGCTCTGTGTGAGTCATGATATACGCTGTCTGCCAGTCTGGTACTTCACTCCCTGCCAGCTTCCTTTGTTGAGAGGCTGCATCTATAGTACCCACCCAAGGTAGTTGAGCAGGAGGCCTGCTTATTGCTCCTTCGCAAAGTAGATTGGAAATTTGTTCTCTTGAATGCATTCCAAACTGGGTCAATGCATGCCAAATCTCTGCGGCCCACTTCAGAGTGGATGAGAGCAGAATGAATTAATTGCAGCTAGTATTTGAACTGAATGTGAAATAGGGGCAATAAATCTCCTGGGCCATGCCTGTCTCCCAAAGCCAAGCCCGGTTTTTGCTCTTGTAGCTGGGTGTGCTGGATCAAGCTGGGCTTCGGTTGAACGTGCCAACTAGCCCTCTGGGTCAGATCGCATCAACTGGCTTCCCAGATCAATGCTGAGCTGTGTGTCCCAGTTTTTTTGTGAATTGCATCATTGGGGAGGTTGTTCTACGTCTGATCTGTTTCTGTTGGGGGTTAGACTCAACAGAGATCAGGGGGGTGGTGAGGAAAAGACACTTCCTGTCTTTGTCCCCACAGTTCATGGTGGGTTCTTTGAACTTTCTGTACGGGGGAGTCCCCTGATACCAATTTGAATTTATTTACCTCATGTTTGGGGGATTTGTCACATATATTGTGTGTGGGTGTATGTATGTATGTATTTGTAATGAATGAGAAAGCGACTTTGAGGGTAGAATGTGTAACACAATGGTACTTAAAAGTTAGACCTGGAGGCTAAGAACTGCCATTACCATTGCTATTGATTGCCATGGTATTAAAATAAGACCACCACCACCCCCATTTTGAAAGGGCTAGGCCAGGATTAAAACCATGAGTCTGGTGATTGGAGCAGGCAGGATATGAATACAATTATCAATAGATCTATATTGTACCCCTACGTTTATTTGATTTGCATATCCTTCACTCCTCACTGCTTTCATTTCCATTAGTCTTGAGGCACTATAAAGATCTCAACCAGTGAAGTGGGTCCAGATGACAGCATAAAAGAAATGAGCCTCTTTGTGGAGTTGACCATAAGCGTATCCATGTGGGTAATGACTGCAGCATGTAAATATTCAGGACCTCCCAAAGTTCTCATTTTTATTGGTATTCCCTTTCCAAGAAGATGGAAATACACTCATAGGCTTGATTTCTTTAGAAAAGTCAAAGTATCACAATCTTCTCTTTTTGGACAGTCTGATATAGAAGTTAAAACAATATCCTGCTTGCTCTTTTCCTAGTTCTCTTCTAACATTAAATTCTTAAATCTTCACCATAGTAATAGTCAAAAGGGCTATCAAAAATTCTGAAGCGTCAATCATAAAATTGAAATCCCCTTTGCAGTGAATAAATGAATAGAGCATTTCTCAGCTGGATCTGCAGTTTTATATATCTTGTCTTAACAGACAAGTATAACAAATTTTCCCTTTCAAGGTTTCTTAATACCACCTTTCCCTTGTACCAAATTTTCTCTATAACCATGGCATTCCTTCATATGCAACTTAATCTCCAAGATAAGGGAGAGGGTTGGCAAGATCGTTTTCCTGCCACCAGCGTCTCCCAATGGAAGGGAGTCAATTCGCTTTTTTCTTTTGTATTGTTTTGGGCGGATTGGTTTCTTTTTTCAACTCTCCAGATATATTTTTTTTAATTGCATTGTAGCGCATAAGCAACCTGATGAAAGATTCTTGTCAGGAATGATAGTTTTTGGTTTCCAAGTTTTGGGTCCCAAAGCAGATTGTGTGGGCGCGCTGGTAGTGGGATAGGGAGCGGGAGGGCGGGATATGGGAGCCATATTGTATATTGTTTGTTGTTTGTGAACGGTGCGTTTTGCCCGTCTCTTAGTTTGTTGCCTTGCTTGAGGATGGCACCCTTGGGGTGTTAACAATAAAAGGAAAATTCCACTGCCAGTTTGAATAATGTTTTGTGTTTGTCTTTTCTAAGTCTGTGCTTCTGTCTGTTGCTTATTTCTTTTTGTTTCAAAAGTGAACATGTACAGTTTACTTACGTGGAGAACTGGTAAGGGATGGGGGCTGAGGGAGGTATTTTTTCAATCACAATAAATGTTGGAAAAGCAGTTCAACAGAAACAAACATGCGCTGTTCACTACAATGGAATAAGTCCTAAACCGTGTAGTACAATATTGTACAATAGTACAATTTCGATTTATTTGGGGATAAATCGAAATGTCCCACTTCAGTGTCAGAAAATGATGTGAATGAGAAAAAACAAAAACCAATTGAGTTATAAATAAACTTGGAACATATTTATAGAGAGGTTCATTGTCAAGGACTGTATAAGGCTTTCCTGAGGGTTTCCGTGACTGCACAATTAGCAGAAATCAAAGCACTTCTTTTTCCTCAAGCTACAGTTGTAATGCTGGAGAAATATGGGCTTGCAAAGTGATTGCAATATCAAATGTGGGTCGGATACAAACAAAATCCAATTCAGGCACCAGATCGAAAGAGAATTGAATTATTATTTTTTTTGGTTCTTTTTGCTTTTTGAATAACTTTTTAAGGCATTTCATACAACTTGGAATTATATTCTGTTCTATTTGTTTCCTTGACAAGAACCCAATATGTCAGACAGCCACACAGTTGCTGTTCTTACTACATTAGTTTTAATTATTGCTGTTAGTTGGGAGTTGTTCTCTCTCTGGTTGCCAAAAATCTCGGAAATTAATGTGGAGTATCTGTGAAAATTCAGGGAAAAAACCAGGGTGGGGCTCCTTTGGGCTTTCAAATTCAAGAACAACTTTACAGCTGTTCATTCATCTCCATGATCCTCTAGATCAGTGGTTCTCAACCTGTGGGTCGGGACCCCTTTGAGGGTCGAACGGCCCTTTCACAGGGGTTGCCTAAAACCATTGGAAAACACATATTTGTGAAAAAATATGGAAAACATAAAATAATTTTATGGTTCGGGGTCACCACAACATGAGGAACTTTATTAAAGGGTCGCAGCATTTGGAAAGTTGAGACCCACTGCTTTAGAGACTAAATTCCCATTTTTTTTATTCTATCATGATCCTCTCTACCAAATTATTCTACACACATTATATGAACATGAATCATGGAATGGGAGGATAAATAGGCTCTGATTACATTTCAAGCCCAAAACCCAGCCTGAAGATGGCGAGTGAGACCTCACTGAAATGTTGCCAAGACAATCTCAATCTTACACGGGAAAAGACCTGAATACAACAAGACCAGCATACCTACACCTGTGAAAATCTACAAAAATAACACAAACACACACACACTATTTATCCTCCCATTCCATGATGTGTGTATTCATTCAAGATACGGCACTAGTTTTCTGAATGCAAAGATATTCTTATGCAGAAGCACTAGATATGATTTTAGCTGTCAAAATGTTTTCTTACTGAATTTCTACCTTTGCATGTTTTGGTTTTTTATATATAACTTGAGAGCTACATTTTTGCATCTTCTTTTTCTTTTAAGATGGATTCCTTACTCCTCAGAACATTAAGCAATAAATAGGACAATGAAATAAAGTAGAAACAAGCTTTCAGAAGGTTGATGTGGCTCTTTGACTACTCCCTAAGGCTCCTTTATAGAAAATGCTGTTTACTAAAGTGTATTTCGGTTAAATTTGCATTTTTTAAAAGAGCACAATTTATATATTTTTGCAATTTAGACTATATTTTAACGCATTATTATTCATGCAGTTTTCTTTGTTGGATCAAATAAACCAAATATATGTGATTTTCTAAGTGGCCTGCTGTGATTTTCAGGCAAATAAAGGGCCAATTCGTAAAACAGGAAGACAAGCACTGTGATTTAAGGGGGAGAAGAACCAAGTATGAAAGTATCTCAAGTGTGGGTAAAAATAGGTTATTGTGTAGAAGCCCAACAAGGGCATCACAAAAGCCCATGTCCGAAAGCTGGACTTTGCTCCCAGGGGTGTGTGTGGAGTGACTCATTGAGACATTGTGGAAAATTTCTTTTTTTCTAACACCCTTCCCACGAGGATATTCATTCATATAGAGAAGAACTGAGCACAGAGGTCCTATTCTCAAGGGAATAAATGGTGTTAATGTACCAGACTTGTGTTTTACTTGTTGTGGGGGGGAGGGAGGAAAAGAGAAAGAAACCTGTCTTGTTGAAAGATAAAAGCCCTCTCTACTGCTCTTCATCTGCACTTTGTATCAGTGAGTAAGATCTAACATGTGAAGTTGCTTTGAATTCTGTTCTTTGTCTTCCCCCATTTTCTTCCATCCATCCATCCTTCGAACAATATTTCAAAATGTCCCTGTTCACCAAAAAGAAGAGAAATAATAACCATGCCTGACGTTCTAGGCAAACTAGACCTACCTCTTGAAAAAAGAAATTGCAACTTATCTTTATTATTGCCTAACTTGGTTCTACAGCATTGCTTATTAAAGTCTAGAATATAGTCTTGTTAAATCTTCATATTATCCATTTTGTTTACAATTAAGAGATGGGAAAAGTATATTTTAGCTAAGTTGCACTATCCAGATACTTCTAAACTACAATAGATCACAACAGTCAACTTTTCCAATGTTCACATATTGCCAGAGCTAAAATAAATGCATGAGAGAAGGGGGGAAAATTACCAGTATTTTTTTCAAAATCTAGAATTGCTAATTATAAAGAAATGTGAGTTACAACAAGTGGATTTTAGTCAGTGGTGGGATGCAAGAAGAAAGAAGATTATTGTGTATGGTAAAGACCTTTACCATCAGTGGTAATGATATCAACCCAACTAAGATCTTGTTAACCTTGTCTCAACTTAAAAAACAAAACAAGATCTGGCTTGAGAAATATTGGGATGGGAGACCGTTAAGAAATCCCAGGAGTAAATGCTAGTCTGGAGGGGGTAAAGGGCACCTTAGTAGAAGACAGTGACAAACCTTCCCAGCATTATTACCAAAAGAAGTACGTTACAAAGTCATCCACAGCTGAGTTCAACCTGGACATTCATCAACCATCTGTGAGTAGCCGCTGGATTCTACACACGGTTACTTCCTATAAATTGCTGTAGAGCTCTTTCCCCACTTGACTAATAATCTAAAGGCAAAGTAAAAGTGTAGATTGTCACTAAATCTGAAAGTAAGGCTAAATAATAGTTTGGCTTGAGTGTTGCATCTTACTAATGCCAAATGGTGCTATGTTTTCAAAATGCCTCACTAGCATAACTAATTATTAAGACCCTGTGGTGGCACAGTGGTTAGAATGCAGAATTGCAAGATTGACTCAACAAGGACCCAGACTGTTGGGGCTATATGCTGACTCTGCTTAGATAGTGCTGAAAAGCACTATGAAATGGCATATAGTCTAAATGCTATTGCTATTAAGGACTCTAAATACAGGTTAAACAGTAGCTTCTCCATTTTCTTTTGATGAGAGAAGGGATAATCCTCTTGATTTAAAATGGAAAATTTTCCACAGTTTTTGCAATCAGCTATAGTGAGATAATAGGTCTTGTCAAACCAGAAGACTGAAACAGATTTGGATATGTTTTCCATATTTATATCCCATAGGCCATGTTCTACAGCAGTTTCCCTAAATTAATCTCCAATTAATGGACTTCAACTCCCAGAATTCTCAGCAATGACCAAGCAAGGTGAAACATTCTGGGAGTTGAACTCTGCATATCCAGAGGGCATCCAGGTTGAAGAAGGTTGTCCCACAGGAAATAGACCCAAAAGAGCAGATGCTGGGAAATACCAAATGCTTACATCTAACAGGCAGTGCTTGCCCCTCCACATTTCTGACTGCAATGACTTCCTGAAGAAGTGCAAGGTAGAAGTGTATCTACCTTAAATGACATTGCAACTTCTGTGCTTTTTAATGAGCTGTTGCAAGAAAGAAGGTCAATCTGCATACCATGCCAGCAGGATCATTTCTGATTTATTTTTACATTACTGATTTGGGCATGATGTGGCAGTACAAGACACAAAAGGCACAGAACAAAAAATATGACATATATGGTTATTAACAGGTCTTATCTATAGCGTCACCATGTTGCCAACTTGGGATTTGCACATTTTCTCAAAGGTTGTCCACATAGCTTTAATCAAACTTTCAACGTGAATAAGATTGCCCATAGTGATGTTACAATCTCTTTCCAGCTTTTTAAACAACATTTAATGACAACTTTCTTCCATGTGCTCAAATTCACCCTAATCCACCCATTTTTTAAACCCGTAACTTGCCAGCTGACTACCGGTACATACAACAGTGGACACCCTTGGAATCAATTTGGGTGATGGGTGCCCTTGAGCCAATCTGCATGTGACCATCGCTCTTAAACTCCAGAGCTGCTGTCGCCACTTGATGTCAAAGGCAGCCATCCAGAGAGATTAGTGATCTGGCCCAGGATAGGGCAACTGCCAATATTCCTAATCAAATGGCAAGCAGAGAGTTTTTGACCCTGATTTTGCATCCAACTCCTGAGTAGAGAGAAAGACAGTAGAAATTTGTTTAGGATTATAAATTGCTTGTAGTAAGAGGTGAG